GGTACAGAGACTATTGAACACAGAGAGTAGTAGGATAATATTTTTAATACAACTGAATTATAGCATGGTTTTGTGGGTTTTTTTGTTTTTTTTTGTCAAACCATCTTGGAAAATAAATGTAATAGGAACTAGTGCAAAAAAGTTCTAAACATGAAGCACAGTGTATAAAATGGCATAAGAAAACTGTTCCTTCAAAAGGACACAGTCACTTTCTTATGACAGAGGAGAGAAGAGAGAAACAGAGGTGGGGAGAGAGAAGGGAGGAGAAGGCAGAGGGAGAAGAAAGCTGGAAAGAAAGAGAAACTGGGCAGGGGGAATAGAAAGAATATTTTGATTTCAGCAGGATGGTTTTTTCACCTCGCCACCATGTACTGTAAAAGGACCTTTTGCAGGTCTGAGCTCAGTAACCACCAATATTTCACAAGCACTTGAGAAGGGTTCGGTCACAAACAGCCCTTTTCAAATACACACAACCCATCTCACCAGGGTTCACACAATCCCCAGTGAGGCTCCCCTGCACCTCTACATACAGAGCTGTATTCTCTTCTCTGACGGATGTTTATCTGATATTTGTCCCTAGTCAACAGCAAAGGGTTGGCAGGAACACGTATGGTCTGTCACTGGCAGAAGCAGCATCTCCATGCTTTGGATGGAAGAGTCAGGAGGACTGAAGAAGAAATACCTTTTTCCACCCCACCTCCTTGAAAACTTCTACTGAAAAGCATGGTTCCTGCACTTCCCATTTCTAAGAACCTAGCCTTGTGGTTTCCCCATTGGCACAATCCATTTGGCTTCTTCCCTGTTTAAACTCCCCTTAATCTATAAGGAATCTCTGGTTTTTAAAAGTCTGCTCATCAGTGTGCTATTTGAATGCATGGGGTGGCAAGGATGAGATTCATTTTACTTTGTAAAACAAAAGTAAGTTTCTTTACTAGAGTTGGTAGCCGCATTCAGCACAGGGTGAGGTTCTGGGGGACTGGCGTCTTCTTGACAATGACAGCATTTTGCCTACAGTTTCTCCAGTCAAGAACATGCAAAAACAATTCCCCAAGTATGTTAATTTGGATTAAGTGACTGTAAAACAAGGAGGATCTGATAAAAGTCCTGAAATACAAAAAGGATTGTTACTAAGAAGATGGTGCTCAGTTGTTGTCTTTGTCTACCATGGACAGGACAAGCAATGGGAATAAATTGCAATAAGGAAGATTTAGGTTAGCTATTAGGAAGAATGTTCCAACTCTGAAGATGGTTAAGTATGGGAACAGAGGACCTAGAGAGGTTGTGGAGTCCCCTTTGCTGGAAGCTTTTAAATGCAGGTTAGACAAATATTTGTTTGGGGTGCTGAAGCAGAGATATTCCTACCCTGAGCAGGGGTAGGACTAGAGCAGGGCTGTTCAACTAGTGGTTCATGGGCCACATGTGGCTTGCAAGGGATTAAGTTGTGGTCCTTGGACTCCTGCTCACCTGCTGCTCCCCCTATTGCTCTGGCTGCAACAGCAGCTGAGGACTCCAAACTCCTGCTTCCTCCTCTGGCTGCTGCTTCTTGCCCCTGCCCTGCCCCAGGTGGCAGGACAACGCAGCATGGTGTAGGGAGTGGAAGGTGAGTCTAGGGCTATGTGGGCATGCAGTACAGTGGTTGCAGGGGGAAACTGTGCACGAGTGGGATGGAGTGCTGTGCAGCAGCGAGGGTTTCCACATGGCCTGGGGGACTGTGGTTTGAACTATTGTAATCTGAGGGCATGCAGCCCCTGGCCCCTTGGAAGCTGAACAGCCCTGGATGAGATGAACTCTTGAGGTCCCTTTTAGCTCTATGTTTTCTGATTCTATAATCACTGCAAAACCAGGAAACTTTCTAACTCAATGTCAGCAAGAACCCCGGTAACTTGGATAGATGATTTTTTCTGTTAGAGCTGGGTGAAATTGCTCCTTGAACAGGCTGCCATTGCTCCTAAAGTTTGAAAAAACATGAAATTTGTTAGAAGGAACACTTCCCATGAAAAATGTTCATTCCAACAAATCTCTCAAGTTGAAATGATATTTGAAAGGAATTTAAAAATGAGAATTTCAGTTTTCTGGTTGCAAACAACTTTTTGTTTTGTAATTTAGAATAATAATAATATTATTATATAAAAAAAAAAAAAATCAGTCAAAACAAAACATTCTGATCGACTGAAACCAAGATTGGATTTTCAATTCCTAACAAATTTTCAAGACTTTTATTTTTCCTCCTAAATCCAGATAGGAAAAAAAAAACTCCAAAGCCTCACATTTTCAAAGACAAGAAAACCACTTGTTCCCCAGCTCTAGTTTTAATTAAATATTTAATATTTCAGATGTACATGAACGTTAACAGGCAAAAATCCTATGTAGTCATTCAGCTCATCCTATGCCCAGGACTTGCAATAGTGGCACTGCTCCCACTGTGTTGAGATTTGAAGGGAGATCACTAGAAGATCTGTAGCTACATGTTCAGTTAGACAAAGAAGCTCTTTACAGGCTGTATTTAGTCAGGTGTCTGGGGAGGTCACTGAATTATGCATCTTATGTCCTAAGGGAGCAACTGAAAGATCAACAGGTATTTGGCTCCTTAACTCAGGATGTATAGGATGAAGTCAGTTGGCATACCTAGGAAAAGGGCAGCAACAGGAACTTATAATGTGGCAGAAAAAGGGTCTTGGAAAAATACCATAATCTGAGTTTTTTCATGTGCAGCCCCTGCTGCCTTGTTTACTGAAAGCTGAAGAGAGACTTGTGCTTATTTGTAATTGTTTGGCTGACCCTCTGGGTTCCCTGCTCAGGAAGAGTAAGGATCGTTTCCTTTGTTTCACATACAAAGAACCTTCAAAAATCCCAATGACGTGCACACCCAAGTATTTTTGCTCTCCTCTAGGAGGGCCTTAGTGGCAACTGCCCTCAGTCAGTAAATTCTAAGGATGGTTTATAAAACATGTCCATGATCCCAGGAGGTGTGAGATGGGACAGGTTAGAAATCTAAACAAACTACAATTCAAAACATGTTTTAAAGGAATCAAGATGATTTACACTGCACAAGGCCACCAGTTTTTCCTTTTACTGCAGAGGGGAACCCTTTAAGTCTGGAGAAGACCTTTTCCCTTAATCATTGCACCGGCATTAGTCTGACAACAGAGAGCTGCACTGTGTACCACTATGGGCAGATTCTGCACTATGCAAATCAGCAAGTGGTTAGAAGGATAAATGTCTAGAAGTGACATGTGACATAGGGCCTACTCAAGGGAAAATCTGGCTAGAGATCCTGCAGGATTCCTCTCTAAAATGCAAAAGGAAATGTAGTATAATAAGCCTGAGACTTACCCACATCAAACCCTCAGGTTACAAAAGTTCAGTTCTTTTTCTTCAGTTAGCTCTGGGGTAAAAGGGTCAGTGATGGGCTTCCTCAGCTGTACACTTCAGAGTTTGGCTACTGCTTTCTGGCAGGAGCTGGCAGGACTTGGGCTGGAGCTGTAGGAATGGTGTAAAACTTCTAAGATGTTTTTGTGAGAAATGGGAGTCAGCCTCAAGCCCATGGTCTTGCTCCTTCACCCACTCACAGCACTGTAAGTTCAGGTTAGCTGTAGGGGTAATTGCACTGCAGTCAGTGCAGATGCATCAGAATAAAAGCAATGTGAATGAATGAAGAATCGGGCCTGAAATGGGGAGCAACCACTCCTGTCTTGCATCCTAGATCAGGCTCTTCCTCTGAAAGACTTGAGTAAGATCAGAATGATGATGCAGAGAATAGTCCATGTAAGGTGAGGAGGTGCCATTTATCCACTTTCCATTTGTCAACTAATGTCTCCTTTCACATTCAGATCCTCCCTTAGCATGGTACAGACCCTCAGTAATTATCAAGATGTACCAAACAGGGGCAATATCCAGGGAGCAAAAAGGACTTAATCATTAAGAGCTGCTAAGAACCTACACCTCTGAAATACACAGTCAGGCAACACTCACCTGGAAAGAGTGGGACCCTAACATTCCTCCCATGAGATGCCAATAATTGAAGGCTGTAAATCAGGAACATTTGAAAGGAAAATAATAATTTTAGCTTGTGTTAATTAGCTAGTGTTATCTTCCTACTGATATGCATTAGATTCCTTTTGGTAGGCTAAAAGATTGTAACGTTTTGGCCATGTGAAGGAGGCTGTCTTTCATAACCCCTATGGAATACAAATTCAATAGAAATTTATATTCTTGTTTTTAGATTACAGCAGAATGGCTCAGAAAGTCTACAAAAGGATCTTATTTCCTTTTATATTGCATAGATTTCCATACAATCCTTTTAAATTTCTGTAGAACTCTATTGGTTTTACCCCTAAAAAATTCTAATAAAGCGTTCCTTCCAGATACATATAGAGGGGTGGCAGCTAGGTGTCAGATTGTAATTTGTTACCATTCACTAAGTTCTTCTGTGTCTGTGTAGAAATGTGTTAGAAACCAAAACAAAAAAAGAGTCAGAAAACCACTGAGTGACTGTTCTTGACAGAAATCATAATAGAATGTTCCCCAGTCAGTAAAAACAGCCACAATAATTTGACCTAAAATCACTAATCTCTAGTTCAAATGCAGCACAAGAAGACCAGGATGAGGAAAAGAAATGAGGGGCATTTCAAAATGAAAGGTGTCACTGTTGTGCCAATGAGCAGTGGTGTAACTAGGGCTGGGTGACTGTCCCAG